TCAAGTATAATATATATAAGTTGCATACTATGGTGCAAAAGTCAGTTAATTGGTAGGTTTCCAGTTATGAGCTCCAAATATCTTGTTGCTTCTTCCTGTAGCAATTGTGAATTTCAAGATAAGCCATTGAGTGCTTCATACAGATTTGTTTCCTCACATAAACTGACACCAAAATAGATTTATTGAATTCAACTCTGCTCGAGCTGAAAATGTCACAAAACTCCATGTTGTAAAGATTTCCCCCCACCAACCTCATTCAGGTTCATGCTGCATTTTTGAGATCAGTAAACCAGCCACTTTGCCACTATCAAAACACAAGTCCACACTAAGATTTAAAAGATTACATTTATTTCAGAAAGGGCAAAACATTTCATAAATACTGAGCAGCTCGTTGGTATAGACCCAGACATTAAGCCAGAACTAATATACATGCTTGAGAAAACTGGGTCAAGACTAGCATCTATCCAACTCAAATGCAGGCTTTCCCTCATCTGCATATGGCAAAATGTCATTAAATGCCAGTCTACAGTGTCATTTTAACCAAGCAGCAACATGAGACTTTGAAACCTTGATTTGTGGCGTCAAAGTCCCACTCAATTTAGGATCCAACTATTCTGCTAGAGCTGAACCCAGAAAGCACTTAGAATAACTCAAATGGTTGATCAAGTTTCACTCCCCACATCTTACAGCAATCGTTCTAAAAAGCTGGAAAAATCCAAGCATGTTCACAAGATGGGCAGGTTAAGTCAAAAAGGACAGTTTAAGCTGAATTGAAGGTTTCTGGAAAACGTCGTGTTGCTCTTAACACATGCAGAAGTCTTTTCCCCAAATAGGCGGGTCATAGTTTTTTCCTTCGACACAATCCATTCCATAATCACTGTTCATAAATGCAGCAGTCCTTCTCCAGGTCCAGCATAATCAGCCGACATGGCAATCAGAGCATGGTGATGAGTTGATATGCGACATGGTAGACTGATGTCCCTGAAGGACCCAGAGAATCTCCTTTATGATTTTGGGTTGGGCAGAGGGCGTCGGAACAGCAAGATGTGTGGCTCTGGAGGAGGAACACCAAGAAAGGTTCATTATCTTGTGGAAAGTAGCAATTTGAGTCTTGGGAGGGGGGGGGCAAACACATCTCTTGTAACTCTTAATTAAAAATAGGGCGTGCCAGACTGATTTTTTTTTTTATTTGGGCCACAAAATCCAGTAGCAATGACACCTAGTCGGCATCACCTCAACTGCAGAAACCTAAGTTTTAAATTAGTTTATTTAAATGTTAAATTATTCTGTAAAATTAAATTCCTTGTTTTAGACTACTGATTGGTCAATACACTACTACACCACCTGGTCATTCTCAGAGCTTTAGTTAAAGGTAACATCACAGAGTGAGAAAAACAGTAGTCAAAGTGATCAGCTGCAGTTTTAGTCTAATTTTGAGTTGGCCTTTGCTGCAAAATGATCACCATGAACTATTACAGCTTGTCTCAAGTTTCAGTTCAATATGATCAACAAGCTACACCACCATACACCCACCCGCAAGCACAAACTACCAAACCAATATTTAAAATCATGACGCTGTCAGTTATTACCTGGTTGGTGAATCATGTAATGCACCCATCCTTGACTCTGTTGGACACCAAGGTTTCTCCACTCGGTCTCCGACATAAGATGGGTTTTGGGAACACGCTTGGCAAGCTCTTTGGGTAGCATTACATGCCTGCGGGGAAAAAAGGTAGTATTACATTCTCAACGCAGTTGTGTTGGGCATTTAAAAAAATACTCATGTGTCGTGTAATGAGCTGAAGCCATTTTCTGCTAAGAGTCATCTTAATTTAACTTAATTTAACTGCATGTCGTAAAAGCATGTCTTACGTACCTGTACTCGTATTTGTCGTCGTCGTATTTGTCAGAGTAGTAGATCTGTTTGTGAGACATGGTGGTACCCTGTGGGAAATGTGTTTTAAACATTAACAGTCACAATTAGAGAAAAAGGCAAGAAGCTAAAAGAAGGCTACATGAGTGTAGCTATGCTATAGCCATTCAAGCTAGGTCGACAAGACTTTAAAACAGGTGTGCGTATTTATCGTCTTAAAATCAAAATATGTGTTGTTGTCAATGCCCAATACGAATAGTTAAGTTTAAGAACTTACCTTTTGTTTTGTTTTTTCTAATTAACAAACTTTCCCAGAGATTTTTAAAAAGCCAACTATTCCAGTTAGTTCGCTTCCGACAGCGACGAATTGTTTGCTCTCTCTTTGTTTCCCTCTCGAATGTGTGCGAGCCCGCTTTTCGCCGTTCAAATACACCTCGCCTCGTCCTATTGGTCAATACGACGGAAAAACTCGTCTGCTATTGGTTACTTCTATCTGTCGCAGGACATTAACGTAACTTCTTTGATTTCCTAATTCGTCATCAGGGTGGAAAAATCTGTGGGAAAAAAACAAAAAACAAAAAAACTAACATTCCATTTCAGTCCAAAGTTCGACCACAATTCTGTCCTGACATGCTTTGGTGTGATTACATAACCAGTCCCAGACTGAGCTTATAATCGTTTTTAGCGGGGATATCGTGAGAAAGTTTTAAGTCTATTATAGTTTTTGACACTGTTTTATTTAATTGAGAGAAAGGTGACGTCAACGAGGTCTATTTTTCTTCTTATTTTAGCTCTAAATTTTTAACATTTCAAACCGTTTCACTTCAGTTCGTTTCCATGCATTTTCTCATTGTATCTTAGTTTTTATTTTATAAGAGTTTATATTATACAAGTTTCCGTATTTTTTTATTAGTAGTAGTAGTAGCAGCAGCAGCAGCAGCAGTAGTAGTTTATATATATATATATATATAAAGAAAAAAAGCACAATGACATAGTCGATGGTTTAGAAAGATCTGCATGCATCAGATTTACAGAGGAGTATTGTCCCCGTGCTCAGTTATAATTAAACAGATAACACTGTGATCTGTAGTGATAGCTGGAAGCATGTGGAAGAGAGCCTGGAGAGGTGGAGGTCTGCAGGTAGTAAAGGTGGATGACTTTTACATACTTTGGGATCAACCGTCCAAAACAATAGACTTGCACGATAGAGGTGAAGAACGTGTAGTTGGAGAAGATTGATATGTGAAGAAAGAATAGCATCGAGAATGAAGGTTAGAGAGGCAAGGATGAGATGGTTTGGAGATATTCAGAGGAGGGATAGTGGATATATTGGGCAAAGTTACTGAATATGGAGCTGCCAGAAAGAGGAAGACCTCAGAGATTATTCATGTATGTAGCAACATTAGTTATAGTTAACCAGCCTATAATTTATAGTCTAATGTTATCATTTCCACACCTATGGGCATTTTCAACACCCTACATGTGTATCTAAAATCTCTTAATTTTTTACTTCTAAATAAATTCTAAACTGACATTTGCCCTGAAATCTCACCAAGTTTTTCTAGCTCACTTTAGCTTGGCCTGCAGTACTTCTGTGAGGATTCTTGGGCTTAAGTCCCTCTTACTTAGGGGCTTAAAACTTTCCTTTTTAATCAAGCTCACATCAGGGACAGATCATGTGACCCTGAGCCACCCCTTATTTATGCTGCTATACACCCTGGCTGCCCATTATACTAAGCAATCCTCTGCTTTTCTCTCTTTCACTCTCCAGTTATTAATATATGCCACCATCACGTTATTATCTTTGTGCCCTCTCTTTCCCGTAGTTTGTCCATTGTCCTCTCTGTGTTTTTCTGCATCCTGAGCTGAATGTTCTCTTATCCCCCAAGCCTGCAGAGTATTTATTGTTATATTGTTTGCAGTGGCTTTGTGCTCTTCTTTTCTCACCCCACTGTCAGATGGCCACCCTCCCCGAGCTTTGTTCTGTGCAAGATTTCTTCCTGTTTGTAATGAATGTTTCTCTCCCAATGCTCTGTCCTCATTTGCTTGCACAAATGAATGTTTTTTTGTCTTTAATATTGTAAGGCGAGGTTGTTATATTGCAATGTAAGAGTCCTGGGATTACTTTTGTTGCTAATGTGCATTACAGTATGCACAATATAAATAAAATCTAAGAGATCCATCTTTATGCAAAAGTGTTTCCCTATTTCCTGATTTTCCCTCTTATTTGTCACACTTAAATGTTTAAATCATCAAACAAATTGTAATATTAGACAAAGATAACCTGAGCAAATAAAAAATGCTGCATTTAAATAATGACTTCAAATATTAAGGTGAAAAAAGCTATCTGAACCTAGCCCTATGTGAAATAAAGAATTGCTCCCTAAACCTAATAACTGGTTATTAATGCAATTCCTTTATCACACAGGGCCAGGTAGGTTTGGATAACTTTTCGCCTTAAAAAACAGCATTTTGTATTTACTAGTGTTATTTTTCTCTGATTTTTTTTTTTTTTTTGATGATCTGAAACATGTAAGTATGACAAAAAAGAAGAAGGAAGGAGGGCAAATACCTTTTCACACCACTGTATGTGTACATTTACCTCTGGGGATAGACCACCAGAGTAAACATGAGCAGGCCTAATCTTTACCTTTCAACACCCTACAAGAGAAAGATATATATAAGAAAGATACCATTTCTCCCCAACAATCAGTTATGTAGTTATGTGATTGTTGTTGTTTGATTTAAGAGTACAGAGGTGTAAAAAGGAAAGTGCTTATCCCAGAGAAAACACTTAAATGACTAATTTTAGAGGAGAAGGGATCAGATGATGAAATGAATGCCCACATTGGAGCAATAGTGGGAAAGGGGTTGTCCACTCTGGCAAGTCCCGTACAAATATAGTTCAGCAGACGTGTCAGTGAGCGACTGGTGGCTCCTGTATATGTGTGTGTATCTTGTGGGATCACACATGAACTTGTATTATTATAAACCAAGGAGAAAGAGCCGGGACCATCACCTGCCACTTTCACCTGCGTGCGTCAATCAAGCTGGGATGCACGTCGCTTTCCTGACGCGACACTTTTATCCGATTGGTTCAGCCATGATTCGGGGGCGGGTGCTCCCGCGGCTTTGGTGAAATCCCATTGGATGTGAGACACGTTGGTCGACGTGACGCTACTTGGAATTCCCGAAGTTCCCAAGTTCAGAGGAGAGGAGCTGTGCTCGTGCTAAACAAAACAAAACAAAAGCAAAGGGCTTTGAAGTGGAAAACGCCGAGCGACTCAAGTGTGAGCACGCGGGGTAAATAAACGTCTTGTTCGCGTTCGCGGTGATGGAGCCGAGCTCGTGTCGGGGGCAGCCTGCTTAACAGCTGGGCCTGAGTGAGAACGCGGAAGAGTGGGAGTGGGAAATTCAGCCAACCATCCTTTGTTTACCATCATGAGTGAACCTTGAATTTGGTTGCTACAACAACCACAGCCGCCCAGCATTTACCTCTTA